CTAACACACTGCCTCCCTGATCCACTCATTTTTACAAAATTAATTCCTGCCCTTTACACTGAAAAGATCCCCTTAAAGAACGTGTGTGCTCAGGACGGTAAGGGAAGGGGCGAGGGTATGTGTGAGGAGAATGGCGCTGTTCTCCAAGTCCCCTCCCACCTCACTGGGTTCCACAGCCAGCAGAGCTTCAGACACCAAAGGCGCCCACGTAGGGCTCCGGCCCACTGTCCAATAAATATGTGTGGCATTGACCTAATGCATGTCAAGTCAGCTGAAACCTCACACTTCTGCCTATGGTTTTAAGGTTCTAATCTTGAAGCCTTAACAGCTTACACATATTGACCTGAGGATCACAAGGTACTTTTGATTAGTGAGGGCTGAATTCATCTAAAGGATTTCATGAATAAAGAAGACAGCTAGAACCCCTGCTTTCCTGCTCCTTGGTGGAGATTCCAGGCTAGAGGCAGGCAGCAAACACCTGCATTCCTGCCAAGCACCAGGCATGGTGCTGGGCACGGGAAGGACACCAGCGAAGGCACAGATGCACGCAGCCTGGAGCATCCCTGCTGCAGCCACAGGCCGGCCCCACCACAGAGCTCTGGGAACTCAGGGAAGCCGGTGCAGCTGGGGCTTCCCTTGCTCATGGGCAAAGCGGGAATAAGTTAGTGGCCAGGACCACTGAGGGCCACAGAACAAGGAATCACTAAACGCTAGTTATTCTCACTGCGATTGGAAAGGTTTACACTCACTCAATTTACGTGGACTTTCTATAAATGCTGCACTGATGTTCACCTCACCACAGGGAGAAAGGACACAGCTTTCGCATCAGCCCAGTTTGAGGATGCCCCAGGCCCTGCAGAAGCCACAACCTGTGACTCAGATGATAAGTCGCTCTTGGTGTGTGGCAGTACTATGTGGGGGTGGGGACTTAGTCACCCTAAGGCCGACACCCAGCGCTGTGGAGCTCATTTTAGGTTGAGTGAAAATTTCAGTTTGCAAACATGTCTTAGGACAACAGAAGATGCCCAAAGAAGTAGGAGAAAAACAAACAAACAAACAAAAAAAAAACAGCCTAAGAAATAAGTCTTTCTTCATTCAATGCCTGGGGATTCAGGAATACAGAAAAGACATTTTCAATTTTATTTTATAATTAAATATCAACTTTACTGGGGGAGAAAGCACTCCATCGCATTGGCATTAAGCCTGAATATCATTATTGCCACCTTGACTCCTATCACCATAAAAAGGCATTTTCCATTTCCCTAACAAAACCATCCAAACAATATCTGTATAATTTTGAGCAGGTTGGGTTTTGCTCACTTTTGAGCATTAACTAAATTAAGCAGCCTCACCAAGAATGGCCCCTGAGAAACATGGTGGAGGCCTGATATGATGGCTCATGCCTATAATCTCAGCCCTTTGGGAGGCCAAGGCAGGAGGATCGCTAGAGGCCAGGAGTTCAGTACCAGCCTTGACAGCATAGTGAGATCCTGTCTCTACAAATAAATAAATAAATAAATAAATAATAAAATAAAAAAATTAGCTGGTTATGATGGTGCCTTGCTGTCTTCCCAGCTATTCAGAAGGCTGAGGCAGGATGATCACTTGAGCCCAGGAGTTTAAGGCTGCAGTCAGCTATGATGGGGCCACCACCCTCCAGCCTGGGTGAAAGCGCCAGACCTGGGTACTCTTTGTGGTCTGTGAAAGAGTATAACATTGGGAATTAAGATCTGTTTTGCTCCTACCACAACCACGTATGCACTGCATGTCCTTACCTAAGTTACATCTCTTTGTGAGTCTTTCTCCCTAAGAGAGGAGATGCCTCTCTTGGGGGTCATGTATTTAGGCTTGGAGATGGGAATTGTAAAGCTCCTAGTATACAAAATGGTTTCAACAAATGGTGGCTGTGGTCATCCTAATATGTGCAATTTTACCATAATTTCACACCCAACAGAAAATTACCCTGAAGTTAAGTTGGGTGCGGTGGCTCACACATGAAACCCCAGCACTTTGGGAAGCCAAGGCAGACAGATCACGAGGTCAGGAGATCAAGACCATCCTCACTAACATGGCGAAACCCTGTCTCTATTAAAAATATAAAAATTAGCTGGGCGTGGTGGCACACGTCTGTAGCCCCAGCTATTAGGGAGGCTGAGGTAGGAGAATTGCTTGAATCTGAGAGGTAGAGGTTGCACTGAGCTGACATTGCGCCACTGCACTACAGCCTGGCAACAGAGCGAAGACTCCCTTTCAAAAAAAAAAAAAAAAAAGAAAGAAAAAGAAAAAGAGAAAAAAACTCCCCTGAAATTAATACTTGAATGTTCATGTGTTCTCTCATTTGCTAATGGCAATAGTCTTCTATGTCAGGGAAAATCAAGTACTAATATAGAATCAGAATAAAATGGTAAAAGAAATGGGGGCACAACAGATAAATTCTGGAGGGGTAACCTACTTACTGTCAGGGTAAGTCTGTGGCAGCTAAGACCAGGCTGCCTGAGCACATCAGAAGATGAACTTCCTCAAAAAAAAAAAAACAAAAAACAAAAACCAAAAAACAAAACGCGCCCAAATGCTCAAATGGTTCAAGATCATACCACTATAGGATAAAGCTGTTTACAGAGCCTACAAAACAATCTGTGGCTTAGGCTCTGCCAGGGAAAGAATGGCCAGACCACCCATCATGGTGGGCTTCCCCAGGGACAGCTCAGGTGTGACCCATGTGGACTCGAGGCCACCATATTTGATGTCACCTGCAGAGCGGAGGGCAGCTGTCTCCCATTAACTCGAGGCTGTACTCGCCAAGCTGTGTTCCCACATAATGTTGGTTTCCAAAGTACCTTTTTCTCCAGAAGAGAAGAGGCGTGGGCTAACTGGCATCCAATATGTAAAACTCCTCCCAGGTGGCAAAACCAGGGTAACAGAAAACACAGTCATTCTGCCAGTGTGTGCTAATCTCAGGAACTCCCAAGCATTTTAGCAAACTTTTGGACAATGACCCATAAATATTCCCAATACATACAGCATCTTCTCTCTTTTTTTAACTTTTTATTTTTTTTGTAAACACAGAGTCTCACTATGTTGCCCAGGATGCTCTGGAAGTCCTGCGATCCTCCTGCCTCGGCCTCCCAAAGTACTGAGATGATAAGCATGAGCCACCGCGCAGGGCCCACAGCACCTAAATTCCAAAACGACCTTGAAACTCTGACCTTCCACCCGCCCTGGTGGCTTCCAGAGATCAGTTCCTCTTCCTGTGCCAAAGGTTTCTTCTCTTTCGCTGCCCGGATTAGGTCAGTCACTCAAGGTGCTCCCCCCCTGCTTCTGAAGGCCTTCGACTGAGAAGCCACTCTGGGTCCCGTCCCAGCCCCAAGGCGGCCCCCGTCGGACCCCCCACATCTCCGGGCGGGTGTAGGTAACGCAGACCAGGCTTTTTCCACTTCACTCCCCTATTTCTCCAATCCCAGCCTCGGCTGCATCACGCTGTCTTTCTCTGAGAACCCAGCCCTGCAGGAGGAACGCTGATGCCGAAGTCGTTTTACTGGAACGCTACCTCCAGAGCCCTTCCCCCGAGCGCAGCGGCGGGAGGGGTGTCGGGGCGGGCTGCGGGGCGGGGCCTGGCACTGACACCCGGGGCTCCAGCGGACCCCGCAGCGCGGCTTCCCACGCTCCGGCGGCGGGCGCTGGGCCTGGAGGGCTGCGCTGCGGGCCCGAGGAGCGCACGGAGACGACGGGCCGGGCATCACGTAGGCGCCCGCGTTGGGCGGGGCGGTGCCCACAGCGCCCCAACCTTCGGCACCCGCGCCCGCCCGCGCGCTCAAGGGCGAAGGGAAGGTCACGGGCGCCGTGGGCGGCGCGCCCCTCCCGGTCCATCCTCGTGCAGTGCGCGGTCCCGAAGCGGGAGGAAACCCGGCATCCGGGCCTTTCCGCGTAACCGCCGCAGGAGGAAAACGGCAAATGACAATCAAAACCCGGCTCGGGACCGTCGTGTCTCCAGCCGCGCGAACGCGAAGCCTCCCGGGTTGCGTCCGCCTGGGCAGCAACGATGCGCCCGCAGGGGGCTGCGCGGGCTGGGACACTTCGCATTACGCGCACCGGCGCCCCCACGTGCACCCGGGGCCTGGGCGCGCGGTCACCAAGCCCGCTCCTCCCTCCCGTGTTCCACACCCTCCGCGCGCGCCCGCGTCTGTGGCTCAGGCTCCGGCCTCCCCCGAGAGCAGCGTCCACGTTTCGGGGCCAGGGAAGCCCGGGGCCCGCGCCGCGCGCGGGTGACGTCCCGGAGTCCCCGCTTCCTGGTCCTTCCCGTCCACGGAGGCTGGTGGGCGGGGGAGGGAGGGCCGGGACCCATTTTAGTTTTCGGTTTTGTCACGAGCCGGAAGGCGACAGCCGGGGAGGGCGCAGGAAGCCCTTTTTAAAATCCCCCAGCGGAAACGCGAGGCGCAGCCGGACCGCCCCGGAGACGCCTGGCGGGAACCCGCGCACAAACCCTGCCGCGTCCCGCATTGCAGCACCGGGACCGCCCTCGTCGCGCGGGGGCGCGATGGGACAGGAGGCGCGCGGGGACCCGGCCGTTTCTTCCACCGCATTCTGCGGGTGGCGTGGGGCGGAGCGGGGGGGGGAGACCGCTTAGGAAGTGGTCGCGCCGTCCCCAAGCCTCGGAGGGGACGCCCGGCCCAGGCCTGCAGCTCCGAGGCAGAACGACCCCGAGGGCTCTCCAGGAGACCCCCTCTGCCGGGCTCGATTCAAAACACACACGGGAGGTGGGACGCGCACTCACCTTCTGGATGGAGCTCCGGCCGCCACGTCCTGCCCGCCCCCGCCCGCCCGGCAGGTTCCCCCGCCGACCCCTCCCCGGGACGGGCTTCTCCCTGGTCCCCACCGCTTCCCCGCTCCTCTCCCCTGTTCCCCCCTTCACTTCCCGCCTCTTCTCCCCGGTTCCCCCATCTCCGTCGCCCGGCCCACACGTCCGTCCCCCCCTCCCTCGCCGCCCGGAGCCGGGCGCGCACCTTGGGCATCCCCGCCGCTGGTCAGCACGCCGATAGCCTTGCCGGCCCCGGAGAGGTGCTCCAGGAGCTTCCGCAAGGAGCCCTTGGGGCCCTGGGAGTGGTCCGCGTCCATGGCGAGGAGGCCGAGGGGAGCCGCTCGCCCGGGTGCGCAGCAGGCAATGAGGACCCTGCCCGCGCGCGCCCGACTGGGAACCGTCGCCCCGCCCGCGCCCCCGCCTGGCCCCAGCGCCAATGGGCGGTGACGGGCGGGGCCGAGCGCGCGGGAGGGGCCTGCGGGGGGCGGGGGCGCGGGCGCGGCGTGGGGCGGGGGCGGGGGCCGGGGCTGGGGGCGCGGACCGTCACGAGCGCCCCTACTACTAGGGAGTGCGTGGCGGCGGGTGGGGGCGGGGGCGGCGCCGCAGGTGGGGGAAGCCTTGGAGGCGGGATGGCGCCACAGGTGGGCGGGGTCCCTGCGGGTGGGGCCGCGTAGCAGGTGCAGGAGCCTCGCAGGTGGGCGGGACGACTCAGGCTGGGGGCTCTAGACAGGACACGAGCGCCACGGGTGGGGCCGGAAGGGGAAGGGGGACCGCCGGGGGCGGGGTCACCTCGTTTGCCCGGCGCGCCGGGGCTGGGCTGGATGGAACCCGGGGAGCATCTCCGGGGGTGGGTGAGACCGTGAGTGGGAGCTAGCACCCGAGCGGTTGGAAACCCGGCAGCTGCGGGGGCCGCGATGGCTGGGCAGGGTGGAATGGGGGCGCAGAGACCCCACCTGGGCGCGGAGGTTGTGGGGACCGAGCCCGGCCGCTCGCGAAGCATCTCGCTGCCCGCAGGATTCCGCCTGAGGCGGCCCTGTGAGCCTTGGGGAGCGGCCTCGTCGACCCCCCCACCCCCAGGTTTCCTCTGCAGGCTGAGGTCGGGAAGGGCGGACCCGGAGTGGATCCAGGCGTCCCCAAACTTTTTACACAGGGGGCCAGTTCACTGTCCCCCAGACCGTTGGAGGGCCGCCACATACTGCGCTCCTCTCACTGACCACCAATGAAAGAGGTGCCCCTTCCTGAAGTGCGGCGGGGGGCCGGATAAATGGCCTCAGGGGGCCGCATGCCGCCCGCGGGCCGTAGAATGGGGGCGCCTGCCACGTAATGGGAGGACGGAAGCACCGCGGGCTGGGCCGCGACGAAGGTGCCATTTCTCGGGGCCACCGGGGCTCTGGCGCTCCTGGATCCCCAGCCCCGCACGGGGGAGGAGAAGCCTTGGCGTGGAGGAGGGTCTCGGGGCGCGACCCTCACAGACGTCCTGGCGCCCAGGCCTGGGCGCGCCAAAGTCCGAGTGGGGCCGGAGGAGGCACAACCGGACTGGCCTGGCGGGGGCGGGGCGGCCCTCCCTACCCACGGACACGCGCGCTGCTGTGTGCTCGGCCGGCCCCACCCGTGAACTCCACGTGCTCAATACGCACATTCAAGGCGCTGCGGGCTGCCATCCACAGCTTCACCGCGTGGAGCCCGTTACCCTGCGGTGGAAGAGAGGGTAGCCCCGGTTCCTTTAGTGCTCACCCCACAGCTCCGAAGCGGCCCCACTCGACGGCTCACCGGAGGGTGATCCTGTGCACTGGGTGTTTGTTGAACAGATAAGAGACTGGGAAGAGGCTTGTTCTGTGAACCGGAGAACGTGAAGGCATCGCAAAGGAGCGGCTCGCTTTGGAGCCATCCTGGGGAAAAGATGGAGAGGCGTTGATTTTTCTCGGATGCGCGCTTCCTCCTGGGGCTCATCCCTCTGAGCATCGAATATTCGTTGCAAAGGAGGGAAAAAGAAACCTGCTGCGGACGAGCTGGATGGTCTGATCTCTACCTTGGTCAGAATTAACGGAGCAATTCCTGACCCCTCACGCTCCGCAGAGTCACCTGGCCTAGTCACACCCCCTCGAAACCACTGAAGTCCAATTTCTGGGCATGCAGCCAGGGAATGTGTAATTTTAAACAAGCCCCTAGGTTACTCCGACGAGTGCAAAGTCAGAGAGCGCTGCTCTCATGCACTCGGCCTGGTTTTAGTCTATTAACAGAAAAGGAAAGGAGAATCCTGGGTGTCGTAAGGTGGCAGTTGGATGGCCTTGGCCTTCTGGCGGCAGGAGAGCAGGGCCAGGCTCTCAGCACCTGCGCTCACCGCTGGGCTCAGGGTCTGTGCTGGAGAGTAGAAGGGCTAATTATTCATGCCTTTCTAGAGCAAATCACATGAGGAGAAGGTGATGCACACTGAATTTAACTTTAGCCAAATGTCCCTTATCTCCTTACACAATATTTTTATAATTGAACATTAGAGGATCGGTCATTTGTCATCCTACTGTCTATAATACCGAAAACAATAGTTCAAACATGATGAGTTAAATCAATGATGGTAAAAATATACGCTGGAATAATATTCAATTGTTTTTACTGTTACGAAGATAAGTATCTACTGACATGGAAACACGTTCCAGACATACAAATAAGTGAAAAGGCAGACTTGGGCAGTGTGAGCCTGTGCACGCCTGTGTGTGTGTGTGTGAGAGAGTGTGTGTATGGGTGTGTGTGTGTGTGCATACATATATAAATGTATCTGAGCATTTTATTTCCTTTTTTTTTTTGCTTAGTATGGGTAATACCATGTTTCCCTCCAATGAACAGGTGTTGTTTCCGGAGTAAAAGTAGTTTAATTAAAAACAATAAAATTTAGAATGTTCAGACCCCAGGCTATGGATATGTTCAAAAACTTGTATCTAAGGGCTAGGGTCAGGGGCATCACTGGCCATCTTCCCCCATCTATTATCATGAGGCTGGCCCATCGCTCAGTCAGTCAAGGAACTCGCACACATTAATATACAACTGTGGCTAAGATGGAAGAGCACAGCCATGGCTTTTTTTTTTTTCCCTGCAAGTCCTGTATTTTAATAGTTCTACAACTAGAAATATTTTTTTTAAAAAATCTTTGGCCTTAGCAATGAATCATCTAATCCGAGAGATTTTGCATGCGGTGCTGACTGTGCTGCGCCCACCAGGAGGACCTGACACGTGCTTATTCTTTATTGTCCCTTGACAGATTAAACTTCCGTGGTCCTCACCAGCACACTTGTGTACCACAGGAATAATTACTCCAGGGGCCAGGAGTTCAGGCAGGCTTCACTGGGCCTTCTGCGCCAGGGGCTCTCCGTGGCTAGGACAGGTGTCTACCCAGGGCTGCCATGTCTTCTGAAGGCTCATGCTCATCAGGGGAGGGGCTGCTTCCATGCTCACTCCTGTGCTGCTGGCAGGATTCTGTTGCTTCCAGGCTGCTGGACTGAAGGCCCCAGTCTCTCCCTGGCACCCGCTTCAGGCTGCCCTCTGCCCTGGGCGAGCGGCTGGCTTTGCCAGAACAAGCACCAGGAGAGAGTTCAAGTGGACTGAACGCGCAGCCCTTCCCATCCCAGTCTCAGGAGAGACCACCGCCTCTTGTCTGATTCTATTCATCACAAGTGAGCCACTTGGGGGCGTGCCGCCTGGGCCAAGGAGATGGAGAACATGCACAGGGCAGATGCCCTTCCCTCGTTCCCTCTGTGGTGAACGCAAAAGCCGCTGATGTGCCCTGGAATTCTGGCCTCCCAGGAGGGAGCAGCTCCCTGCCAGTAGGGCACCCTGACTCAGTGCCCAGGTGTGTTGGGCTGCACATCACCACCAGGGCTGCCTGAGCTGCAGCCTCTTCCCCTCCTCTGCTGTCTCTGCCGGTGCATGGAGTGAGCATCTCCAATCTGCAGGGGCCAAGCTGAGCTCAGGTCTTTGCACCCCCGTGCGATACCCCGCCCCTCAGCCTTCCTCACCTCAGCTCCAGGCGACTCCATCCTCCCCGGGGCTCAGGCTAAAGCCTTGTGGTGTCCCTCTCCCCCAGCATCTAAGTCCCTCAGGAAATTTGCCAGCAATTCATTGCATCAGGAGCCACCAGGGCCCAGCCACCACCTGTGACCTGGACCGGCACGGGCTCCCTCCCCATCCCCTGCTATGTCTTCAGCACCCCCCCAACCCCTACCCTGCCTCTACCCCACCTCCATGCCTCCGATGTCCTCAGCTTCAGCTTTGAAGTCAGAATGTGCTTATCAGACATCATTCAGGTGTCTCCTCTACTGACTCAGAGTCACAGGCCCCGCCCTGGCCCAGTGGCCTGTCCTCTGGTCCCACCAGGTCCTTGGAGCTGCCTTCCCAGTGACAACTCCTTGAAATGTCGCCAGCTGACTTCCAAACAACTAACAAATAAAAAGGGTTTTAAAACAATTACTTCTACCACTTCTGCCAGTTCCTCAGTTTCCCTAAAGTTTATGGTGCTGATTCTTAATGCCTCTCTTCAAAAAATCCTTCCTGTTTTTTTTTTGAACATGAATTAACATGAGCATAGAGCACAGCATAGTATAGTGAATATAGACTATACATGATGCTTCATGCATACTATATTATTAATGATACACACTGCATGACTAATTTATTTTTGCCATTTCTCACTTACTATGCTTTGAAAGTGTCCTCCAACTTTCAAGTGTTGGAAATTTAATCCCCATGCACTAGTGCTGAGGGGAGGGGCCTCTGAGGGGTGATCGGGTCATGAGGGTGCTTTGCCTCACGAGTGGATAGATGCAGTTACCCGGAGTGGGTTCATCATCACAAGAGTGGGTGGGTCTGTTACCAAAGTCAGCTTGACCCCTCTTACTCCCTCACGCTCTGTTGCCCCTCCACCTTCCTGTGCGATGACACAGCACAAGGGACCTTGCCAGACGCCTGCCCACCCTCAGGACTGTCAGAAGGGAATCTGTTCTTTGTAAATTACCCAGTCTTAGGTACTCTGTTAAGCAGAAAACAGGCTAAGACAAAATGTTTCAGGATCCTTTTCCCTCACAGTTGCAGTGAGAAATTTATAGCTTTGTTTCGATTTGTGGCAGATAAACTGCTAAGTAATAGGCATAATTTTGAAGGTTTCCCTTTCCATCCAAATATTTGATCCATTTTCTATTACCCTGCGTTGTTGACCCTTGCTTCTGACATCTCAGAGGTGTCTGGAAGAAAACCACAGGGGAAACATTGAGAGCCACGTAGTCTGTCTTATCTAACTGCCCTCTGGACTTGGAGAAGGCTGTTTCTGAGAACCAGAGAGCTAAAGATGAAGCCCAGCTCAAGCCACTTACCTGGAAAAGCTTTCAGAACAGAGCCATTCCCTGGAAGCATCACAGCTTTTAGACTTCACAACAGGCACCAGAGAGCAGTCA